TCAACTCACAGCCGATGGCAAGTAAACATTCCACCCTAATCCTCACCAGAATCAGAAAACAAAGCTCTGAAGAATCTAGTTGCTCCAGACAACTTCCAACCAGGAGAAATACAATTTCTCCCTTGGAGCCATTCGTGCATTCGAATCACTAAAGAGGTGTGCCACCTTTGGGTTAACAGTTTAATTCCCTGTAGACTATTCCACCAGAGCTCCCCACATTGTATCATTACATCTGTAATTTGGGAGGTTACAGTTCAGTCCATGGCAAACTGGGAAGTGATATGTCCTATCCATCGCTAGGTCCACACAATTGGAAATTAAAGTAGAACTGAGGAACCCCGGACCCAGCAATGTAGCCTGCTCACGCAGGGTTAGGGGCTGAGTAATAAAAGTGAGGAAGAAGCATTTGTGATCTATGCTGTGACAGTTCCTGTTCTTGAATTTCATCCCCTTATAATCTATTTTGTTCGGGGTGAGCAGTATATTTTTCATTAATAAAAAGACTTGCCCTAATAATCTGAGTCCCAGCCTTAAATTCTACTAGTTTGAAACTTAAGGAGAGGAGGATAGAGTACCCACTTTTTTTTTTTAATTTAGGTTGTTTATTTTTCATTTCAATGAACATCTACAGATTTTGGAATTCCATTCATTTATTGTTGCACCCTTCTCCCCACACAAACCCCTCCCCCCCCTTTGCTCCTCTCCTTGAAAAGCAAAAGAAAAACTCCCTCATTGGTACACAATCCCCCCCATACCTCCCCAAACCCCACCCCCTACCCCCAAATATAATTCACTCTGCAACCCTCATTGCATACTCCTACGATAAAAATAATGCCCTAAAATATAATACTTTTAGACTATTCTCTCCCCCATAGACTTCAATGCCATAAACCTATTTCATCCAGTTTTTCTCAGTCTTACCCCCACCCCAATGCCAGCCTCATTCTACAACAGTGGCACCATATAGCATTTGTCCCTTTGTGACTGAGATACCTCACTCAGCATAATGTCCTCCAGGGTCACCCATTTTGAATAATGTTGTATGAGTTCCTTGGTTTTCAATGCAGCATAGTATTCCATTGTGCGAATATACCACAGCTTCTCTACCCATTCGTTTGTTGATGGGCATTTAGGTTGTTTCCAACTCCTTGCTATGAGTACCCACTTTTGTTATGAACAAGGAACAAGGGTTAGAAAAATGAATAGCAAACTCTGCCTTTGGATAGTGTGCAAAGTCAAATGAGCAAGTGAGTGCCCCTCAGAATTCTGTACACAAATAACGTATGTTTTTCTTTTGTCATGTGTCTGTCCTCCCCCTCAAGGTAGCATAAACACACTATGCGAGTGTTTCATGGTTTGTATTTATGAAAATACCTTGGCAAGGACAAGGTTAATAGAAAACTATAGTACATTTATTTGTGTAAAAATAAGGTACTAAGTTACATTCCTTCAGTATATCCTTATTTACCAGGTGCCATTCTAAGCACTTTACAATTTATTTGACCTCACAATTTCATTAGATTAAAAGGCAGTGGCTATCAGATAGGCTTTACTCTAGCTCATGGTGACCCCTTGTATGTTAAATTAGATCTGTGCTGATTATCAGCCATTAGTAGAACTGTACTGATTAAGAAATAGATCATCAGGACTCTTCCAAGGCATACCTGGGTGGACTTTAGAAAAATCTCTAAACTTTTTGCTAGCAATGGAGCATATTCACCAGTTCACCAACTAGTAGGGATGTAGCTAAAGAAACAGACATAAAGAAGTAAGTACCTTGTGAATACCCAACTGAGACATAAAGAGGTTAATAAACATTAAATGACAGAGAAAAAGACTAGACAATCTGACTTTAGTCTCCATGGTCTACCAAAGAATTAACAATAGTCCCAAAGAGACAACACATGTATAAAAGAGCTCAGATTATATTACTACAACTTTCTGATGATTTTGTGACTTTTAGGTTTTGATTACATTTTCTTTGCTCTTTGATGAGGTCATGCATTAACAGACGAGGTGGTGATGGAGGTGTACTTTTTAGAGTCCATCAGGACCTAAGTTCAAATTCTAGATTTACCACTTGATTAGTGGGTATGACAAGTCTGAACTTCATTTGCATAACAATTGTTTTTATTGTGAGACTAACTACCTTGAGCCACTAGACAATTTATTTCTGGAAGTCAAAAGTATTACTGCAGTGCACACCATGATTATGCCATTATTCACTGTCACCGACCACCCGACCACGGTCGTGACAAGAAACTAGAGGGGTTTCTTGGTGAAGAGCAGGTGAGGGACGAAGTCGGCGAAAATGAGAGTCTGCACACCAGGATGATGTAGAGAGCTCTAATTTATTATGCTAAAAGCTTGCTTTTTATACATTTAAACTTGTTTAAACTTGACTTATAGCCAACATTTTGTGATTACAAAGCTCACATAAGATTTTAACTAGAAAAAAACAAAAAGAAAATATTTTCTATTAATAAATAATAGCATCAGCTATTAAACATTCTTTGAGCAAGAAGCACAGTGACCTTATGTTGGTCATCTGCTAGACAATGGTTAATGGTTTACATTTCACTTCCTTTCCTCTCCTACTTTGCGTTACTGTATCTTAGCCACCTTTGTTTTTGCCTTTGTACTCATGTTTATACTGTACCTAACAAATCTTAACATCTATTTTCCTACACTCTGGACCATTCCTATGTTTATCAATAGCTTTTGCAACTTGTTTCATAAGATTTTAATTTGTTTTTGTTTGGCAATGTGCACTAAGGCATACGACTTCCTTTAACTTGTTTTTACCAAGTTAACTTGTAATATTCAATTCTTTTTCCTTGGAATACAAAACGTCTGTATAAGGAAGAGGTACTGGTGTTGGAGTTGGCAGGACATATGGTCCTTTATAAGTACTTTCTTCCCACCACCTGTTATTTATCTGGTAATATTTCCTATTTCTTGAAGAGACCTTTACTTTTAGAGAAGTTTGTCTTTTGAGTCTTTTCTTAAACCTCTGTTTTATTCTCATTAACTATGACTTTCTGCTGTTGAAACTAGTCTAAACTTTCTCCTAATATACAATTACATTGCTGAATATGAGTTGCAAGTATCACAAAAGAGGAATTAGATACATACTCAAAGATCATATTCAAAATTATACTTTTAAGAACAATCTCAATTTCTTTTATATTTTCATCTTATTTATTATCATTTCCAGGAACATCAAGTGGTTCCTGATTAAGGACTTTAGTTAAATCTTTATCCCAGTTCTAGTGAAGTTCCCTTGATTTTTCCCCAGAAACTCCCATTCTTATCAGAAACAGCACATAGCTTAAAAATAGAAAAGCAATTCCTAGAAGCAACTTAATTTCCAGAGGTTTCCCGGGATTACGAAGACCCATCTGTAACAAATATCCAGGCATCAGCCCACTCACAAGCACAGGGCTTGCAAGATTCCCTCTTATGCTATCTATGCTATCCTTGAGGTCAGAGACCCCGTACAGGCGCGGACGTCCCATTTTGTCACATGGGCGTCGTGGCCAGAGAGGACAGCGAGGCGGGTGTGGCAATTCACAGTAGCAAAGAAATGGAAATCCAGGTGCCCATCAATAAACAAATGGATAGAAAAAGTATGGTACATCCTCGATGTATGCAGCACTGAAAAGCAATGAAATAGTAAAACATTACACAACATGAGGGAACCTTGAGAACATTGTGCCAAGTGAAATATTGCAGCCACAAAATTATAAATATTGCATAACACCGATGTTATAAAATGGAACAGACATCAAGTTGGAGAAGGAATGGGGAAAAGTGGATAATGAACATTGCATTAGAACATATGAGAAGAACTGTTTGAAAGGAATATATGATTATGCATTATATGTAGAAGTACAAGCTGGAAAAAAAGGGTGGGTGCACTGCCAGGTGGGCTAGAGGATGGGAGAGAAAATGTGCAACAATGAATAAAAAGGGGGGTATTAAACATATTTGTGGAACCGACCAAATAGTAGTCCCAACTCTGTGTTCTTTTTTTCTGCCAGACAGTTCCACCCAAGGGTTTGGGTGGTCCTGAGGGCCAAGAGGCTCAAAACCTCCAGCATATTTAAGTGCTTTCAACAACACTATGTGGCCCTGAGAACTGACAGCTTACTGTTGACCTGCCCTGTGGCGGCCAATAACTCGGCCACAGGGCAGCCTCCGGAGATTTGACAGTTCTTACAAGGATCCAGGGCGGCTTTCCAGCCAGCAGCAAGCACATCCCTTAGGGACCGAAAAGTCAAGAGCCTTGACATAACTCCATGGCCTGCCACACACAGACTCCGCGTCCTTTCACCTTTCTTTCCACCCACGACCTGTCTTGCCTTTGTCACTGCGGGGTAGTGGCACTGGTTCCATTTGAAGATGTGTAAACAGGCGTTGAGAGACTCAAGCCTCATCCAAGGTCTCAATAAACGTGTGCAATGGGTAAAAGCGAGGATTGTGGCGCTCGCCTCTGGGTCCTTGAACTTCCCGAGCCTATTTCCTTTTTCCGAGAAGGCCGATAATATCTCTCTTCCTGCTAAGGCTGTTTTCAGTTCAGCCCAGGTTCTCTTGGGTTCAACCTCGGGGAGTTCCGGCAGCTGTGGGGATGCTGCGGGAAAACGCGTGCGCACAAATTGTCGCCTTTGCCAGTCTGGGCACACCCGCAACCTTAATTAACATAATATTTAATTCAGACTACAGAGAAAACATCCTCCACTCAGACTAACTGAGCCTCACACTGCAGTGCGTCTGAAAGGGGGCACCGAAGCTACACCGCACCACGGAACAGGTGGTAAAATGCCAAGGCCAGCAAAGGTCAGCAGGAACTTCTGCGCGCCGCCATCTTGCTGGAGGCGGGAGCGTTTCCCGCCGGAGCTAAGGCTTCTGAGCGACGGGGCGTGGCCTCGCGAGGGGGTGGGCGTGGTCTCGCGCGTGGGTGGGGCGGGGCCGCGCGTGTGGGTCGGGCGGGGCCAGGCATGGCGACCGTGGAGCCGACCGCGCGCGCTGGGTGGGCGTCCACCCGGAGATCCCCGCCAGTCTTCGCCAGTGCAACGGGAGCAGGGGTGCAGCCCTGCGGGAGAGGCAGCGGCGGGGCCTCTCGATCAGGGGAGCGGATCTCTGCGGCCGTAGAGAAACGGGGACCATATATGGTGACGCGGGCGCCTTCCATTCAGGCCAAGCTGCGTGAGTGCGGGCTGCGGCGTCCCTGGGGAGGGCTTGCAGGACCCCTGCCGGCTCCCGGCCTGGAGGGAAGGGGTTAGCTGCAGCCCACTCCCACCCCTGAAATTCTGTTCGGAGAGACTCCGCGGAGTAGGAAAGACCCTTCTGACCAGGGCCCTTTGACTTCCAGAGAAGCACCGGGACCTGGCCAAGGCCATTCTGCGGAGGAAAGGCATGCTGGGGGCCTCGCCGAACTGCCCCGACTCTTCAGGGAAAAGGTCTCCGCAGACGCCACCTCCTCTGTGCCCGGCAGCTTTCAGAGAAGGCCTTAGACCTCAGGGTGGTAGACAAGTGCTTGAGACTGAGAAGCTCCCCCGACTTTGCAATGGAGAGAGGAACAAGCACTTCCTTTCCTTTAAAGATAGAATACTCTTAGGGGATTCTATCAGCGCCTGGGATCACTGACGTATCTCAAATCGAGAGGAACGTAGTAGACAGAGGACCATCCAGTGAGGATGGAGGACAGGGTGGGACAGCGACCCTCAGAGCTGGATAGGACCTTTAGTTCCTTTTATGATAAGAGCTGAAACCCAGGACTTGCCCAAGGACATGCTGGCTTTGTCTTCTAGTTAAATAAAGGGCTTTGGGTCCCTAGGGGGCTATTTTTCTGACATGTAAAGGGAGATGAGCTTTTCCCCTGGGGAAGGTGGAGGGAGTAGGGTGAGAGTACCTGTCAGGAAAGCAGAGGCCCCACCCCTGGAGCTGCATGCAGTGGTGGCTGTGCGATGGAGAGAATGCAAGTTAGAAGTAGTTCAGTCAGTAGTTTCCATAAGGCAAGCTCCTAAGCCTGTTCTTGTTCAATCCTAGTATCTTTTCATCCATCTATCCTGATGTCCTCTACTTCCCGCAGGTCAGTGAAGTTTAACAAGGGCTACACTGCCCTTAACCAGAGTCCAGATGAAAACCTGGTGTCCCTCGACTCTGACAGGTGAGCAAGCCCCTGCAAAATGCCCCTTAAGGTGTGACTTATATAGAACTGCAGGTTGCCTAGTGTTTTTACTTGTTGACTGTCTATTCTAGCGGCCCTTCTTGCAAAACCCAGGCCTGTCCTTTTCTGCCCACCAGCCTTTCCTAGAGGGGCTGGGTTAGAACTCATGGTTCATCAAACTGCTCTTGGTTTGGAAGCATCAGCATTGTTTAGGGCGAATCTCTCTTTCCTACTGTGTGTACACTGTTAATGGGAGTGACCCTGCTCCTGCCAGAGCCATTCAAGGGAGCCATCTGTACTTGCAGATTCTGGGTTTAAGTTCTATTTGTGGCCTTTGCTCCACAAATCTTATAGACTTGCTTGCATGCTCTCCACTTTGCCTTTTTGAGTTTTTTTTGTTATTTTCTTGTGTAACATCGAGTCAGATCTGACTGGCACTGGAGGAGACTGCCCCTCCTTCTCCAGCAGAGCATCTGGTGGATTTGAACTGCACCCGTTTGAAATTAAAGCATTTCCATCTTGCCTTTTGCAGCTGTTCTCCATAGGTCTCCTCCAGAACTGATTGTCTTTGCTCTTCTCCTAGTGACGGGGAGCTGGAATCCAGATATTCTTCCGGCTATTCTTCTGCCGAGGCAAGTCCAGTGTACCTTTCTGCATGGGGTTGGGCTGTAGGCAGCATCACTGCCAGATGTTTATCTGGTGCTCACCATATGCACAACACTGTTCTAGACTTCTGATCTGTTCTCCAATCATCCATTCTGCTCCTTTCCCCCAGCAGAAGTGTAGGTGTCTCAAGAGGCTGTTTAAAGTCCAGATCATAGACTCTCAGAGCTATATAAATGGCTTCAAGAGTTTTCTAGAGCAGGCCACGAGTCAGAAAAGGAATCTTCTTGATAAAATCCAGCTAAGTATTTATTAGTCTTTGCTTATTGGAAGATGCAACCCATCTAGTCAGAACAGACTGATAGCTGACCCTCCACTGGATTTCTGAGGCTTTGAGGTGCACAAGCAGGAGTGGCATCAACTTCCTAAACATGCCTCTGGAGACTAAGAACTTTGAGAAACAATGATAGGCTTCAGGTCTTTTGTTCATAGGGTCACTATGAGTCGTGCTCGACTCAAAAGCAATCAACAACAAGTTGCACAAGAGTTTACCAACCATACTGCTCTTACTCCCATTTGAGTGACTAGTGAGATTCAAACCACTAGAGAGGCTTGGCATTTGGGCTAGCAGTTGAACTTCTACATGCTAAGCCAGCAGAGCTCCTTGGATGCTTCTTATAACGCATTACTCACTAGCTCCAAGCAGGCTCCTCCCCTGTAACTCCCACCCTAATAATACACACCCCGCTTGGATAGCTCTTAGAAGTCTTTCTTACTGATTTAAAATGCCTTCTAAGTTCTGGTCCCATTGGTCCTAGGCCTGTTCTCCAGTGCAGTAATTCCAGTCTCCCTTTTCTTGCTTCTTTTTTTGGAGGTTAGCACTCTTCCACCCATTCTCCACCGAGCTTGTTTTCTTCCAGGCCAGATAATTTGTCCTCCAGTTGTTCTATAGAAACTCAAACTGATGCACTCCTGGGCTGGCCTTGTGGACATGTTTCCAGATTGAACATTCTGATTGTCCTAGACAGAAACACAGGGATAGGAAGTTGACATGTGCAGCTTACGGCCTGTGGCTGAGGTGAACGGTTAGGACATCACTGTACACCACTGGTATTTCTTTCTTTATTCTCCTGGAAAGCCTTGACTACCTTTCTTAGTTTCTTCCAGAAAGAATAGGAACAGTATTCACACTGTGTCCTCCTTGATTGTTTGAGTGTCCTAGACAGTTAAACTAAGAAAAATTAGCCAAGCACTAGAGGAAGCTGTACACTGTTCCCAGCCTCTTTATGATATTCCTGCTCATTATAACTGGTAAAGCCAGGTTGACAGGTTCTACTTTGTAGGGACCTAACCCTGCTGGCATCAAAAGGCAACATGTCTAACTGGCAGTGCAGAACTACTCCCCGCCCTGCCCTGCTGTAACCTGTATCCCTCCACTACACTAACCTGTTCTGGTGACATTGTCCTCATAGTCTTCAGCCTTAATAAGGATCTGTCTGGCTTCCCAGTAGGAACAGCCAGGGCATTGACTTAGAAACTTAATCTAGAATTTGATCTTTCTGTCAGATGGCCAAGGGTTCTGTAGGGAGACCAGCTTGCCTGGGGGTCAGTAACAGTGCAGCCCAGGCTGCCCCTCATTGCTGGGGGAGGAAAACTAGGAAGAGGTGGCACTTCAGTAGTCCCATGTGTGGGGTAGTCCTGGTGGGAGCTCGGGGACAGGACTGCTTTGCAGCCTAGCTTAGAGTTCTCTCCTGTTTTAGCAGGTGAACCAAGAGGTGAGCCAGCAGCTGCTCCAAGACGGGTATCATCTTGATGAGATTCCAGATGATGAGGACTTGGATCTTATTCCCCCCAAGCCCATGACCTCCTCAACTTGCTCCTGCTGCTGGTGCTGTCTTGGGGACTCTTCCTCGTGTACCCTCCAGTAGCCAAAGTCTCAGGCACACACCAAAGATGAGTCATGCCCACCACTAGGCCTGCCAAGCCCTGGGGTCCTTCATAGCTCAAAGAATGCAGTGGAAACTGCCAGAAGCGCAGACTCACTGGGGGCACGGAGACCCCATGGGAAGGCCCGTGACCAATAGGTGGCCTTTACCTGGTGCCTCTCAGGCCAGAAGCCCCTATAAAGGGTCACAGGTGGAATGCTGCAGTTTTTCTCTCCTGTTGGAGCAGTTTAGAAAAACCACTTTAATACAAGCTGAAAACAGGAAATTTGGTTCTTACAGTAGGTAACAAACTAAGGAAAACACTCACATACATATCTTGACTGAGCTTTAGCATTATGCTCTAGGGAAGCAAAGAGCTTTTGTGCCCAGGCTGTGCAGCTGGTGGCATATGGAGGCAGAAAATAGCACTTTATGGCCTGCAGTAGAAAATATTTGAAAAGATTTACCTGTTACTGACATTAAAAGAAATCCCCATATACTGCCCTCCTCCCTTCAGCTCTAAGTATAGGTTTGACCTTCAGAGGCATGGTGGGAGGAGACTTGAGCACTCTTCAGGTTACATCTGAAGTCTCACCATGACAGGAAATTAACTAGATAGGTTAATGACACAGTGGCACATAGTTTCCAGAATCCCTAAAACTGGTGCTTCTCCTAAGTGGTCTCTGGTCAGCCTTTTCTTAGGAGAAAAACCACTTTACTACATACATGTTTACCTGTACTCCTTAGTTGCTATTCTTCACCTAAGTTCATAGTAGTTTCTCTACCAAGGTTAAGTGAGGGGACTGAGTTTGGACCTAGAAGCCTGGAGGTTTTGTGAATACCAGCAGGGTACATGGAGCAGTAGTTGTAGGTAAGCAGTAAAATAGTAATACAGCTCTACAGACTTTGGCCTTGACTGAGGTTCTTCTGGTAAAGGGGAAGAAGCTAAGCCAGCTCACTCGGTTTCTGTCTGAGACCAGTCATCCAGTGCAGAAGGCCGCCTCTCCTTTCTAATTGTCATCTGTTCTCCAAATCCCTCAGACCACAGGTATAGTTCTGGACTAGGCTTCACACCAAACTTTCAGCTACAGCAAAGCTGCTCTTGGTCCACTGCTGGAACAAGGCAGAGAGCAGCATAGTCTCTCTTAGCTGTACTGGCCCTCTAGAAGGTTGTCATTCCTTTTTTTTTCTCACCCAGGACTGTGGTTTGAATGGTAATAGACAGGGTTCCCAGCCCAAGGGGCATGGCAGTCTGGAGTGGCTCAGACCTGAGAAGCTCACATGAGGGGACTAGAAGCCTGAGAAAGTCCATTAAAAAGATGAGGCCTTGACATTGTCAGACCATTACCCCCATTGGGAGTAATCCCTCCAGTGCCTAACTGGCATGGATCTTGGTTCTTTTCTGAAATTGTGGAAGGTATATCCAGCTGCACAGACCACAGAGGCCTTCCAGTTTCGAGTCTGGGAATAGGGGAGGCAGCATGATGGTTCTTCTCTTCTGGAAGCTCTCCGAGGTGCCCAATTTAAGCACTTTGTACAGATGCCTTCTGGGCAGGAGAACACCTCCATTCTGAATTCCTCTGCCCATCCAGAGACTGTCCAAGGCCTTAGGCCTCTGAGAGGGGAAGCACAGGGCTCAGATAGGATGTGTGCTGCAGGGAGGAGAACCCAATGGGGGTCTGAAGGTACTTGTGGAAGCCAAGTGTGGGCAACCACATGTCTGTGGGGGAGCTGGTTAGGACTTAGTAGCCAGAATGACAGAAAGACAAAAGCCCTCGGGTGTTTGCTACAACTGATCTTGGAGAGGATGGCCTAGAGCTGGTTGAGCCCCTAGAAGCATTTCCTGTGGGGGGGCCTGAAGCACAGTACAGTAAGGCAGGATGAAATGGTTAGCTGTTTGGGGACCCCAGCTGCCTTTATTTAGTGCTGGGTGCAGGTGAAAAGTCCCCTGGGAGCAGAGAAGTATTTAACAGATGGGGATGAAGTTATAGTGTTTACACAGTACTCTACAGAACCATGGCTTACTCTTTCTACAACTCATAGGTTTATAAAAATAAATGCTTTCAAATGCTAAATGAGACATAAGTTACCTGTATTGCACTAGAATTTTTTTAAGATGCTGACAATCCAGTCACAGCTTCTTTTAGATCCCAATGTGAAGATAGCTTATAGTACCCCCCATGGCCGATTTCTCCGGAAACCCTGTGTGTAGTGTTTGGAGCTGTTCTTCACAGACACCCATTTAGTTCTGCTTCACAAAACATGGGCAGAACAGGACTTTACAGATGATTTTTCTCTTTAGAATGGATTACTTTTAGCAGATCCCTTCTTCCCAGGTCTTTTTCTTTTCTTCCTAAGCTGAAGAAAATTTGGAGGCCAAACCAACCAGAACAGGTTGGTTAGGACTTTCTGAAGGTGATTTCAGGGAATTCCATTGTAACGTGGGGAGCCGTGTGTGTGTGTGTGTGTGTGTGTGTGTGCGCGCGCACACACACAGACAAGTCAAAAGCCTTTCCCTTGAGAAGACGCCAGTAGCCTTGGCCTTCTACTCAGGGGTGATGAGATTACAGATCAGAAATCTCAGCAACACAGACTGCTTTGCTACCTCTTATAAGAGGTGTGGCCAGTCCCTAGAATGCACAGGAAGAACAAGACCCCTTGGTGGAGGTAGCTCTTGCCAGCTCAGAAAGGAGTTGTCCTCATGATACAAAATGATCATCCCATTCCCAAACCCCTGTAATCCACAGTGATGAGAGGTGCTCGAGAGAAAGGGTCAACAAACATCTGGTAATGGGTCACAAAGTGTGAGTTTTGCTAGGCATTTAGTCCCTGAAAGGAGTCTATTGACCTCGTGGTAAAAAGCTGCACTGCAATCCCAAATGTATACTGTTTGAATTCACCAGCTGCTTTACTGGAGAAGGATGGACAATCTCCTCCCTTGTGACTTACTGCCCCTAAAAATCTGCTGGAGGGTCAGCAATGGGTTCCTGGGTTCTGACTCACACAAAAGTCTCTGATGACCTGAAAGGAACTGTCAGTATGTAAATTAGCAGGTGAGGCTAGAATTGGTATTCTGGTCATAATGTGCAGCTGGTCCCTGTTACAGCACCAACTGAAAGAACTGTCTGCTAAGGACTACTGTCTACAATCCTGGAGGACCTATGGCTGCCTGCAAGCTCTCCTGCAAGCTTGAGACTGAAGCTAGCCGCCTCCCCTCCCACTCCTACCTAATAAAAGGACTCCAGCGTTTAGCTTACCTAACCTCAGAAATCTTAAGCTCAAGGAACTGAAGAACAAATTCAAACCTCGAGTTGCTATAATCAAGGATGCTTTCGGCAGAATGTTAAATGATCCCAGAAGTATTAAAAGAAGATGGAAGGAATATACTGAGTCACTGTATCGAAAGGAATTGGAAGACACAGAAGAATTTCACGAAACAACATATGAGCAAGAGACTATGGTGATGAAAGAAGTTCAGGCTGCTTTGAAGGAAATGGCAAAAAATAAGGCTCCAGGAATAGATGGTATACCAATTGACATATTTCAGTTAGCAGATGCTGCCCTGGACGTGCTCACCAAGTTGTGCCAAGAAATCTGGAGAACGACCACTTGGCCAACTGACCGGAAGAGATCGATATTTGTTCCAAAGAAAGGTGACCCAACAGAATGTGGAAACTACAGAACAATTTCACTGATTTCACATGCAAGCAAGATTTTACTGAAGATTATCCAAAAACGACTGGAACAGCACATCAACAAAGAACTACCAGAAGTCCAGGCTGGTTTCAGAAGGGGTCATGATACTAGAGATATTGTAGCTGATGTTAGATGGATCTTGGCTGAAAGCAGGGAATACCAGAGGAATGTCTATCTGTGTTTCATTGACTATGCAAAGGCATTTGACTGTGTAGATCATAACAAACTATGGCTGACTCTGAGAAGAATGGGAATCCCAGAACACTTGATTGTTCTAATGCGAAACTTATACTTGGACCAGGAGGCAGTCGTCAGAACAAAGCAAGGGAACACTGCATGGTTCAAAATTGGGAAGGGCGTATGCCAGGGATGCATCCTATCTCCATACCTTTTCAACCTATATGCAGAACAGATTATCCGGGAGGCGGGGCTCTATGAGGAGAAATGTGGGGTCAAGACTGGTGGACGATTTATCAACAATCTGCGTTATGCGGATGACACAACCTGCTTGCTGAAACTGAAGAAGACCTGAAGCGCCTGCTGCAGAGTGTCAAGGACTGCAGCCTACAATATGGATTGAGGCTCAATGTCAAGAAGACAAAGATTCTCACCACTGGACCAATTGGCAGCATCAGGATGGATGGTGAAGAGACTGAGATTGTACACAGCTTTAGTTTGCTTGGCTCCACAGTCAACAGTCTTGGCACCAGCAGCCAGGAAATTAAAAGGCGCATTGCCATGGGAAAGACTGCTGTTAGGGACCTCTCCAAAGTGCTGAAGAGCAATGGTATCTCTTTGGAGACTAAGGTGCGTCTGATACATAGGCCATGGTCTTCGCAATCACCTGTTATGCATCAGAGAGTTGGACAATGACCAAGGAGGATAGAAGGAGAATTGATGCCTATGAGCTGTGGTGCTGGAGAAGAGTATTGAGAATACCATGGACTGCTAGGAAAACAAAACAGATCTGTCCTGGAAAGGGTTAAACCGGGTGGCTCCTTGGAGGCAAGGATTCTGAGGCTCTGTCTAACATACTTTGGACATGTTGTGAGGAGAGACCGGTCCTTAGAGAGGGACAGCGCAGGAGAGGAAGGCCCTCTATGAGGTGGATTGATTCAGTGACTGGGATAATTGGGATGGGAGTGTCAGAGACAGTGCGATTGGCACAGGACAGAGCGGAGTTTAGGGCTGTTGTACATAGGGTCGCTATGAGTTGCAGGCGACTCGACGGCACATAACAACAACAACCTCAGAAAACTCTTTGAAAGGAAAAAAGCAAAGCTGAAATATCCAGAGAGGGCTTTCAGCTCATACCAGAGACTAAAACATCAGAGGCTGAGTGCTCTTTGCTCCAAAGCCTCAACACAGGAAATCTTTAATTGCTTTGACACAGTAAGAGGAGCAACATTAACAGACCACAGGCCTGCCTACCTTCCCTGCAGCGGAGGAAACTGGCAATCCCAGGGCCAGAATGGGTATTAGTCACCGAGCCTCTTGGTCTGAGTGATGCTAGTAATGCCATCAATTTCACGAGGTAGTCTAATGCTGCACTGAGGGCGGAGCTGCTGCCTCCTGAGCTGAAGACAGCCTGGCTCAAGTGTGGACAGGGGTGGTGAGAACATAAGGAGTGTTAGTAGTAAGTTCTCTCAGAGAATGCTTCACCCATGGCGTGCTCAGTCACTGCTTTTAGCTCATTCTTCAATGGAGTCATTCTATTTCTGGATCCACCAAAATGTACCTAAAGAGTCCAGAGCAGGAAAGGGGGCTTGGGCCAGGTGTAAGGAGGCAAGGCTAACCTCGATTCAAGGCAACTGCAGTGGCTATGGCTGCTACAGCAGACAGCAGGCTCGGAACATCAGCAGGTCCTTATGCACAGTAGGCTTCAGTGAGACACTCTCGTTGGCTCCAATGAAGAGCACCCCACCACGCTGGAGGGGGATGGGTGCCTGGGCTGTGGGTGTGCTGGCTGTGACTGTCCCCTGTACCATCAGGAGGATGCTGGCAGAGTCTAGGACCAAGATCTTATATTCGGTGACAGAGCCAGGGACCTGGACAGGAAGAAGAAACAAAGGTACAGAGTTGACTACTCCCTTTAGCCCACACAGAGCGGGAAAACTCTGCCACCTCCCCACCTGCTTGCACTCTTTCTTGGTACAGAGGATGGCAGGTCCCAGGGCCACCTTCTAGCACTTGAACTTGACATAAAAAGGAAACAGCCCCATGCTGCTGTGAACCCAGGCATACAGCACATGCTGCTAACTTGCTGGAGTTCCTCACATGAAGGATACCATCACTAACCTCGATCTTCATAACAGTGAAGTCTGGCACAGGCGGGTCATAGATGGAGAGGTAAGGGTCTTCTTGACTCCTTTTTTGGGGGAAGAGCCTGTCCTTGCTGGGACTGGGTGTATAGTTGAGCATTTCACATAGGGTTGGCACATCAATGAACTTGGGTGTCAGGCCGGCACGCACTGTGTTGTCCGAACACGCCATGCACTCCACACAGTCTGGAGACAAACAGTGGACATATGTTAATAAAGAGAGCCTGGCTTTAGGGGCCAGACCTTTTAACCAGAGCCCCATGAAGCCCCAAAGAGGTAAAAATGCTGCTGTTGTTAAGTGTTGTCGTGTCATAGATGACTCACAGTGACCCTATGAACAAAAGAGCTAAACACTTATATAGTTTCCATAGTTTCTCCCAAGTTCATAGGGTTTCTGGAGGCAAGCTACTTCAGAAGTGGATGCCATTCCTGCTTCCAAGCCTGTTTTAATCAGGGAACTCCACCAAACACTCTCCACCATGGGTGGCCAATATCGCATTTGAAGCATCAGTGTCACAGTGTTCAACATCACAGCAACCACAGATTACCTCTGTAAAGCAAATGGACAGCTGATGCTGAACATAAAAATACTGTATGAATTTATATTCTCTCTGGGAGAAGAGACCAAGAAAGACATCAGACATAAAAGCAGATGACCCACTCTAGTCAGGGGTAGTAAAGTTAAGCCATTGAGGCAGCCTCAAGCTCCTGAATTTATTATTCTATTTCTACCAATTACTTTTTTGAGTACATAAGCAATCAAGTGTCAAAATAAGACACGCTGCATATTCTAATATCAATTTGACAATATGTATAATTTAATATAAAAAGACCTATGCAGATTAAACAGACATGTAAAAGAAGTGTGATGTGGGAGAAAGATCACCAGCCTTGAATCTAGTACACTCTGCATTCAAATTGTAGTTCCTACTTATTAGAGGGCCTACCATTGAGTATCATGGTCTCATGACCTCCCCAGGTTGATGTGAGGGTTCAAGCAATGGCCAACACCATGCTGGCACTCAGCAGCATCCTTAATGGCCATTTTCCTTTCTGAACCCACAAGCCCTCAGAAGTTAGAGCCGACTAGGCCCTCAAAAAAGGTTCTGACCATTCTTTTGTCCATACAGGGAAACAGAGCCTGATGAGAATACATGGGGCTCACCGCTTAACTGTGACTCACCTCCTTTCAAGTAGGCATGAGGCACGTTGGCCTCCAGAAACATGGCCTCCCCCGGCTTCAGGGTGAGCAGGTTCAGGAAATAGATGGCAAAGCAACCGATATCTCCTGGGTACTGCTGGTGCAGCTCCAGCAAGAGCTGTCCATTGATGTCCTCCATGTTGTTTCCAGCAGCCACTGAGGGTCACAAAGCACCCACAGGCCATTTAGGAACTTGCACTGGTATTCACAGTCCTGGGGAAGTTATTGCCTGCATATATATCTAGAGGTCATGGTGGGCCTGCCCCAAGCACACACCCCAGTCCTATGAGGTCCAGCTTTCATTGGTATTCCAGCCCATATACATACCTTTCCCCTACTTCTTGACTGTTGGTGTCCAACATTACACCAAGCACCAGGAAGGCCACAGTGTGGTTCAATAGCACAGGGTTTCTTAACCACAGTTCTACTAACATCTTGGTCTGGGTAAGTCTCTATTGGTAGGCGCTTTCCTGGGCATTCAAGGATGCTTAGCAGCATTCTTGGCCTCTATCTATGCAGTACCAGCAGCAGATGTGACAAGCAAAAATGTATCTAGACACCTGCCAAATGTTCCCAGCCTGGGGCAGGGTGGGGGTTGGGGGAGGAATGATTCACTTCTGGAGGAGAATCACTATTCTAAGAGCTTAAAATCTAGTTAGGGAGATAACCCAAATTGAGTTCCACATAACTGTCCTGGTGAGCCCAGGATTTTCTGGCTTTACCACTGAAAAAGGAAGCCAGGCAAACTAGGATAGCTGGCCACCACAGACAGCAACAAGGCAGCATCCACCAAGGGCCAGAAAGGGTCCTGGAGACTGACCAGGGTGTAGCTCCACCTGAGTTAAGAGGAGAAGGCAGGCTTCCTGGAGGGGATGGGGTGAGCTAGGTCTTCTTGACTGGGCAGAGAAGCAGGAACGGTACTTTTCAGTAGGAACAATGTGTAAGGGATGATACAACAAAGAAGCCAGGCAATCCGGGCTCAGAGGTCTGTCTGAGTCTTCTTTCAGAGACTTGTCCAATGCCTACTCTGTGCTAAGGACTGGCAAAGCACATAAAGATTAAAGGCACAGGCCAGTGACCTGGAGAAAGCCCCAGCTTACAGGTACACACAATGACATAGACTCAGGTGCTGAGCTCTATACCTAATGTATCAACAGGGGTTTAGAGAATTTAGGAGTACCAGTTTTGCTGTGAATACAAGAAGTCCTAAGGAAGAGAGGCATGTGAGCAGAGAAAACTTCATCCTAAACAGAGGGCAAGCTTGGGTAAAAGAAAACAATTCCTTATGACTCAATGATGGTGGGAGAAACATATGAGAGACAAACAGAAAAGACCTCTGGGGCCATCTGGAGAAGAGCTTGGGCTGCTAAGGAGCTGAGACCCATCACCTGAGCAACACCATCTCAAAGTTCAGAGCTGGTTCTGCCTTATGCTGCTCTGCACTGATTCTTCAACCTTTAGGTGAAATGATCATATCCATCATATAACTCTTAGTACAAAGTTAGACACCTAGTAAATATTCAAGGAAAGACCTAATGATTGTTCAGAACTCTGCTCATCGAGCTTGTGGAGGAGAGGAATTCCTTTGTCCTCTTTCTATTCTCCAACTCCAAAACACAAGTCCATTTATGTGGAGCAGCTTCAGGGCTGAAGAAAATTTCAGGATCCCTGGGTGTGTATGTTGTGTCTTCTAGGTCTGCCTGCCTCTAACCATGGAGAGATAACCAGTTAAGAAGTAGCACTTAACTTAGTGCCTTGCTACACAGCACAAAAACTTGGGAAAGAAATGCTAAATTGCTAAAAGACCATCAATGTTGGGCCCAATTAAGTGTCCCACTTGGACAAAGGGATTGAGAACCCTAACCTCACAGCTTAGTGTCTATACCAAGGGGCCCAGGAGGAGGTATGGCCCACCGCTCCCCACCCCACTCAAGGTCTACAATCACATCCACCTTGCTGTGAGATCCGCTTCACCAACAGGTTGAGCTGCTCCACTACCACCTTCTTCTCACTCTTCATCAGGTGGGAGAAGCAGTTCCGCAGGGCTGAGGCCACTGCTTGGGAGCCGTGGTTCATGCTCTGCTGTAGATGGGTTGCTGCATCCTCTCCAATCAAAACCTGGAACTCAGGTACCTCTGCAGGAAGGCCAGGTCCAGGGTCATTATCAGGAATGACAAGATAGAATTGGCAGAAGAGGGGATCTAGAGGAGACCTTCCCATCCCATGCCTGGGCCCAAGAAGTCAGACACTGCCAATGAAACTGCAATGAAAATGAACGGTTCACCACTAGCCCTAGATGACTACACCCCCACCTGTCCCACTGGCTGCAAGGATTGTTCTTTGGGGCCAATCAGCTGCTTAGTTCCTATGACACTGAGCCTCTGTTCTCTGCCATCACTCTAGATCCCCACACACACCAGACCAATACACATGTCCTCAGCATTTTGCCCAACCTTACTATTCAGAAAGGCCACAGTCTCCTCAACTGGCCGGAAGCCACACAAGCCCTGGAAAGGGGTGAGGGCAATGGCCATCTCAGGTTTGTGGTTGGCATCTGGGTAGTGTTCCGGAGCCTGAAGGTGTAGCTTCTCTGCCAGCTCCTGAGGGGTAGAGAGGGGAAGCATGGGACAGCCAGGTACAGTATCACCTACCAGGAACACACGTCCTACCCAGTCCTCGCTCACCACCCTCTCCAGTCACCAGACAGCAATGACTTTCTGACCCTGTCATTGAGCCCAGGCTTAATCAAGGCAGGATGCAGAAATTAAGGGTTAAATCAGCCCAGGACAGAGGGAGCTGGGCAGAGTTTAAAAGGCTTGCCCTGTGAATCAGGAAACCCAGAAACCAGGCCAAGCTCTGACAATGGCTATGTGACTTTGGGCAAATCCCTCTACTGTCTGGGTCTTTGCCCATCTAGAAATGAGGAATCTGGACAGACTCAGGGTCTGTGCGGAATGACTCCATAGGGATAGCACTGAGGCAACAGCGAGATAACCTATACCGCCCTGAAAGGTGAAGAGTTAGGTGAGAAGAGAGATGCCAGATATATAAATGAACAAGATTAAGCTAGGTGAAAAAAAGCTCAGAATAAGTCACCTACAAATGGATTTGGAGAAGATTCCCAGGTGTAAGTTGGCCAGCTGTCCACTGAGACCAGCTGCCCAGCACATGTTACCCCGCATCTAAATTAGGAGTTGTCAGGGCTGGATTTAGCTTTGGGCTGGAGCCTGGCATGGGCAGGGCCAAAGCAGCAGTGAAAGTCACAGGAGGACTATACCACAAGCCCTTCTCTCCCCGGCCCCTGTACCCTGCCCCAATTCTGTACCTTGTTAGGGTGTGCCTGGATGGACAAAGCTGTTTTAACTGAGAGTACTTTGAAGAGAAAAGGCAGCTGGCCATTGAAAGTGTCCTTGACCTTTGATCCCAAAGAGTCAGGGTTATCCGCAATCCACTGGCCTAGGGTCTTCTGTGAGATGCGATTGTCAAGGATCTTGGCATTCCCCCGAGGGTGGGTCCCCATCCACAGCTAGAAAGACAGAAAACTAGGGAGGAATGCAGAAGAACCTAGCACCACCAGGCTGCCAGCACAAATGCAGTCACTCCATGCTCCCCACAGAGCAGCTGGGTCCTAGGACAGGCTCTCAGACTGTGTGTTCATGCCCATGCCATCACCAGCTTTCAAGAAGGTAGCTGACCATAGAACACCAGGAGTCAGGAGATCCTGGTTCTAGTCCAGGCTCTGCCTCTACCCAGCTTTGGAGCCTTGGTTATTTTTCTCCCTTCTCTGGGCTTCAGTTTCCTAAACTGTCTCATGAGGAGAATGCCACCTACTCTGTCAAAGTCTCTGAAAAGCTGCCTCTCTCACAGTTCTAGATAAGAGGTTAACTTTCGTTTACTCCAGTTTCAGAAGCAAAGGCTACAGCCTTCTCATGCTTTGACTTTTTCTCCATTAAGTGGGTAGGGGAAAAGGTATTTTTAGATTAATGAAAATGCAAAAAGTCCTCAAAGTAGACATGTTAATTAGCAAAGTGTATTCTCAGGCCAAAGGAAAATTCAAGTAAGTGCTGAGTTTTGAGAGGTTTTTTTTAGGGGAAGGAGGATACTGGGAATCCCAGTCCATCAGATATGCCTTATTTTACTACACTTCTCCTTATTGTTCATCATAAATAACTCTGCACTTTACAATTGAAGGTTTGTGGTAACCCTATGCCCAACTAATCAATTGGCAACATTCTCCAAACAGCATGTGCTTTTACTTCCAGCTTGTGTGACAATATCACAAACTTTGTCATAATGCTACTACTGTACAAGTAAGGAAAAAACCACACTGCTGTGGAATTGGCACAAACTTATAGCTGACTCTCCAGCAGGTTTTCAGAAGCTGTAAATCGCATGGGAGGAGAATGCCCATCTTTCTCCCTCAGAGCAGCTAGTGGATTTGAACTAGCAGAAAGGTGAAGCCTTTGGGTTTGCAATGCATCCACCCATTTGACCATACCACCAGAGTGAGCTTCCTGCACACTTAATAGACTACTAAACACACCCCACCACCACCACCCCACCACCCCACCTACCCACCAAAACACTCTCATTGCCATTGAATCAGAACTGACCATAGCTGACCCTCTGTAGTTTCTGAGACTATAAATTACGTGAGAGCCAATTGCCCATCTTTATCCTGAGGGCGCTGGTGTGCTTGGAACCACTGCAGAGGTGCAGCCTTTAGGTTTGCCGGCAACTCCCTATGGACTAGGCCACCAGAGATTCCTTAGGAGACTACAGTACATTGCAAACATAAAGCATCCTGGGGGCCTGGCAGGCCAAGCACTGGGCTGCCAACCATAAGGTCTGTAGGTGGGGCCTTTAGCAAGACAACACAGTGGGCTTCAGTGAAGATTTACAGCCATAGAAAACTGTCTTATGATTCACTATGTTGGAATCAGCTCAGTGGCAGTGAGCTATCATGTAAGCAACTTTTATAAGTAGTGGGAAACTAAATATGGCTTCATTTCATTGTGGTAGTCTGGAACCAAATCTGTAGGATCTACAAGGTATCCTATATATAAGAACCTCTCTTCTGGCACCACCATCTCTAGGTCCATGAAGCTACACTGATATGAAAATCGAAGAGGGGATCCCCTGTCTCACTGTCTCTCTTAGCAAATCCCTATGACTTGCTTCAGGCTTTTTGAATGAAAGGGTCTCTTGGTCCGTTCTGCCAGTGTGATGGGCTGAAATGCAACAGTCCAAGTCTCACCTCTGCATATGGCTTGTCCTCTGAGATCTGGACCTGTGGGTCACTGCTAGCCAGCAGTAGGGCCACTTCGCTGCTGGACCCCAACTTCCCCCAGGCATACTGCTGCACCACACAGGAAAGTGGAAAAACTGGGGACAGAGAGAGAATACCCTTCAACTCCACTCCAAGTGACAAGGAGAAAATGTGAAGTACCCATTCCACGGAACCGTCTCGGACCGACCAACAGGCAGCACAGAAGAGTTGAGTGCCCGCCCCTCGGATCTCTCCCTCGGGGCTTCATTTTCTTCGCAGGTGCTCCCTCCCCTGCCCCACAACCACTTATCCTTCAGCAGTGCCCCCAGGAGGTGGGCTTTTCCAGGAAAAGTCCCCCAGGCCAACGACCCAGCCCTCCTCCAACTCGGGCCAATCGCTCACCTTTCTGACTCGCCATCTCCGCAGCACCCAGACCTGGTTTCTCACACGTAGACTCTCCCGGCAGTCCCCGCGGCTTCTCTACTCCCAGAGCTTCACGGGAAATGTAGTTCTTGGCGTACAGTCTCACGGGCACTTTACCCCAGCGCCAGTTGGCCAGGACACTTGACCGGGACACTGTCTGAACACAGGGTTGCTTCTTCCACCTTCTGCCTATCAGGAGGAGCCACATCAATGCCATGGGGCTTCCAGCCCACAGTCTTAAATCTCAATATTCATGCATTCATTCATCCACTATATGTTTATTGAGCAAACTACCAACTACCTACCAGGCACTGCTCTATGGATTGAACATAAATCAGAGAAAAATGTTAATTATCTATGAACAAGAATCTCTGCCTTTTTAGATCTTCCATTCTAGGGCTGGATAACAGACAAACATGTAAAATAAATATAGCTTGTAGGATGTTGACAGATAATAGGAGTTGAAAGATAAAAAAGTGAGGAGTGAAGTAGTATAAACCTCAACTGAGGTGAGACTTGAAGGAAAATGTGAAAGTTGGGAATAATGCAAAGAAAACAGCTAGAGCAATGGCTCTTAAGTGAGAATAGGAGAATGTTCCTAACATGTGTAAGGAGTAAATAGTAAGTGCCAGTGTGACTGGAGCAGATGAGCTGGACAAGGAAGGAAATAAGGTGATCAGAGAGGACTTTGAGTTTTACTCTGAGTGTCTTAGTTGGAGAGTTTGTGCAAAGAACTACTAGTGTTTGATGACTGACTGAAAATATCATTTGCAGAACTCTTAATCTACCTAAGCGTATGTCTTTTTCTGTAAAATGGGATCCTAATGCTAGCCTTGCAGTCTCATTTAATAGGTGAAATTATTTGGGATGCCTATAAGTCAATGTGCACTCTGTTCTCCCAAATACTTCATAACGTTGGACCCTGCTCCAGGTTGAACTGCTCCCAGCAGCACATACAAGACAAGGATATCATAGGAGCTCTGCAAGGGGATAAATAGTAAATTGAGGCTAGGATCTGGCTGTGGAATAAACATGTTATTTCCTGTGCTGTAACATTTAAACACTCTTGACCTTGAGCAACAGCCTTGGAAGAGAGAAGCCAACAGGAAAGCCCCAGAAGCACAACAGCCAAATTTCCAGGAAACCTGGAGTGAGGGCTGAAGTCCCGGCTCTGCTCTGCATCTGGAGCCCCTCACCAATTTTCAGTTTCTAACACACTTGTTCTGTGAAAAGAAGGGGTCCTGTTTTCCCAGTAATGTACAATCTAGACATGAACTTAAATTTCCCTATGGTTTCTCATTTACGAAATCAATCCACATTTCAAAAGAAACTTCACTAGACACATGAACAGATAACAAAATAGAAAATACAAGAATTATGATGCAAATTGTGCAGCTCACCGATTTTTGGAATATCCTTCCTCCTCATTCCCACTCTCTTCACCATATGAACCTTCTGAGCTAAGAATGACTAGCTAAATCAGAAAGGTTTCTCAAAACACTTACTACTGCCACCACCAATGAAGTCAGAATTAGAATCATTTCCTCATAGACTCCTCATACAGAAGAAAGAACTCAGATTGAGAAGGGAATAGAAACCTAACCCCCTATATACACTCATATATGGGAAACGAGATTATTTGAGGGCCTTAGAGTTTTCCACCCTTACCTCTTTCTTTAAAATTTTATTAATTTTAATGAACATTTACAGAGATTTTGAATTTTCATTCATTCATTGTTGTACTACACCCTTACCTCTTGCTTTTCAATGTCTGACAGAATTACACTTTATTATACACTAATGATCCACTTTCATCACTCTCTTTCTTGTTAGACTGTATATCTCACTAGGTCCATGTTTTGCCAGTGCCTAGCTAGGAGTAAAACCATAAAAGCAGCTGACATTTTATTGTTAAACACTAAACATTGTGCTAAATCCTTTTCAAGAATTTTCTCACCCTCTCAAGGTAATGCTATGAGATAACTACCATCACTAGTCCCATTTGAAAGAGAAGAATGAGTCTAATAAAGGTGAAGTGACTAGTCCCTAATGAATGAGTGAATAAATGACTGTTACAGAGCAGCAGACAGAATCTAAAGTATCTGCAGAGACAAATGGATGTGTAGACTGCATTGGTGACAGTTGAACTCTGTTTACTTATTCTCCATCCTTGGGCTAGGTTAGAGCAGACAAGGAGATAGGATATCCTTGGTTGTATGTACATAAGGATGTTCTTTCAGACAGAAGAAAGCAGACATCACCATATGCTGCCCTTAGAAAAATAGCTGTAGGAACTTGTGATAAGTAGTGTGTAATGGGACACAAACATGAATCCTTTTCTATCCTCCCACTTAGTCATTTTTTTTTCCTTTCAAAACATGTAACATACTAGTTTATTACATTTTTGGTAATGAGAAATATTTGAGGCCATGAACTCTAAAGGAAAACTATATGGAAAGGGTCCTGTGGCAGTGGCTGTTGGCCATGTGAAGATGACTGATGATGAACTTGTTTATAACATCCACCTGGCAGTCAACTTTCTGGTTTCTCTGCTAAAGAAGAATTGGCAGAATGTTCGGGCTTTGTACATCAAGAGCACCATGGGCAAGCCCCAACGTCTGTACTAAGATACAGCTCAATAAATCTTACTGGGTTTTCTTGTTCTATGGTCCAATCTCCAGAGCCATGCAAACCATGTCAGGAATAAACCACAAACATAGGCTTCAATCTTACATACTGGGAAGTCACAGTAGC